GCCTTTGCTCTGACAATTCCCATTTTTGAATTGCTACTATTGAAGTTTTTACAGCCATTACATCTTCTGATGTGTTGTTTGGTTCTTTTTAATTTCATGTTTATAAACTATTTTCACTCCAAGAGCTGTCAGGAAGGAAAGCATTAGTATTTGAGATTGTGGTCATAAATGACTTGCAAACACTAGCCTAGAATGAAGAAGAAGGGAAAAAATGGTTTAAAAGACGAAGAAAAAAGAAGCTTGGGGTTTGTATTTTATCAACATTGTAAAGTGACCTAGCCGCTAAAGGAGAATTTGTGGTTCTGGGCATTAGAAAAATACAGAGTTTTGGTTTGGGAGATTGAAATGAGAATCTGCATACACCTGGCTGGAGTGGGGAGATGGCAGAGTGACAGTGCTCTAAACAGGAGTTTAGATAACTCCTGTTTCTGGTAACTGAGATAAGGAGGTGAGTGAGTCAGCAGTCCACCTAGGAAACCAACTTCCCAAGGAGGCTGGTAAAAGTAGAGTAAAAAGAACAAGTAAATGAAACCTAGTTCTGTATCTCTGTAATGCTTTAAGTCTTCATTGATTGTTTTTCAAACTCAAATAGCCAAAAGAGCATGATGAAAAAACAGCTGTTGTTGTCTAGTCTATTCCAACTCATGGGCAGCCCGTGTGTCAGAAGAGAGAGAGGTGTGCTCCACGGAGTTTTCAAAGACTGATTTTTCACTAGAGCACCAAGACTGTTTGAAATTAAAAATAAAGTTTCCACATTTAGAAAATACCTGCGCATAGAACCCAAGAAATACAGTGGGAGGCAATGACAAATAAATCCACTTCAACATTCTTCTCCAGAGGCATTAGCATATCAAATAAGACTAAATAGGCAATGTGTCATGATTAGTGAGGACCTGGTGTGGCGCTGCGGATTAATGTGGTTGATTTGGTAAACTGTAAAGTCACTAAGGGTTGGAACTGACTTGATGGCACTTCCCAACAACTACTGAAAGAAGTATCTCCTACTCTAGGCCTATTTTTAAAATCAATTTAAAAACCAAAACAGCAGACTTCCACCAAAGAAAAATGTTTTTTATATCACATCTCATTTATCTGATTATTTAGAAATAGGAGGGGGCATCAAACAGTTCAGGAGAAAATGGAATTGAAAGTTAATGGGATTTTTTTCCACATATTTTTTGAAGCCTCCAAGTATATGTCCATGTCTGTGTTGTTGGTAAGCGCTGTCGAGTGGGTTCTGACTCACAGCACTTCTGTATAGTGGCCGGTGGGTTTGAACTGCTGCCCCTGCGGTTAGTAGTGCTTACCCCATAGGACTCCTCCATGACAAAACTATGTACATCAGCACTATGTTCTTTCTGTTTTCGTCATTCTTTTATGACTTCCCACAAGGAAAGATCAACAGTTCATTTCTTCTCCTCATGTCCTTCCACCAGCCCCACCCCGGACTCATACCCTTCCTAGTTAAACTGTCATTCTGGTGAGTCAATATAATTGTTGTTGTTAGGTGCCATGGAGTCAGTACCGACTCATAGTGACCTTATGCACAGCAGAACGAAACACTGCCCAATCCTGGGCCAACCTCACTACTGTTACCATGGTTGAGTCCATCAATGCTGCCACTTGGCCAATCCATCTAATTGGGGGTCTTCCTCTTTTCCTCTGACCCTCCACTTTACCAACATGATATCCTTCTCCAGCGACTCGTCTCTCCTGACAATATGTCCAAAGTATGAGAAACGAAGCTTGACCATCTTGGCCTCTAAGGAGCACTCTGGCTGCACTTCTTCCAGAATGGATCTATTGGTTGTTTTGGCAGCCTATGGAATTTCAATATTCTCCTCCAACACCATAACTCAAAAGCATCAATTCTTATGGTCTTCTTTATTCACTGTCCAAGCTTTTGCATGCATTTGAGGTTACTGAAAATACCATGGCTTGAGTCAGGCGCACCTTAGTCCTCAAGCTGACATCTTTGCTCTTCAAAACTTTATGACTATGTAAAACTCTGTTCTGGTGTGGCGCTCTAAGGGAAACAGTGCACCACTAATTTCAAAGCCTGCAGTTCAATCTACTAACCAATCCTCATAGCTACAAAGTCGCTATGAGTCAGAACTGACTCCATGGCACTTAACAACAAACTCTGTTCAGGAGCTATGGTGATGCTGAGGTTAAGTGCTCAAATGCAGCTCCAATCCCCACTGGCTCTAGGTAGAAAGATGTGGCAGTCTGCTCCCGTATAGAGAACAGCCTTGGAAGCCCTCGGCGGCAGTTCTACTTAAGTGAGTTAACTGGTGTTTTTTTTTCATGATAGCCTTGGAAGCCCTATGGAGCAGTTCTTCAATGAGCTGACTGTTTTTTGTTTTTGTTTTTGTTTTTTTTTTATGAAACCTTGTTCACACCTCTAATAAGTTTTCCTTTCCTTTTTATTTCCTGGGAGTTTATCATTATTGTATTTGCTTGCTTACTTTTCATAATTTCAACAAATAGCATTGATTCCAAGTTTTTACAATTTGGTATTTAAAGGTGTAAGATGTATCCAAATTTTGTTAGTTGAGTAGGGGCCCTAATAGTGGAAAATTGCCAATAAATCAAATATTAAATAATGAACTAACTGTACATTGTAATTTTTCCATCTGATGAACTATTTAATGTTGTTGTTAAGTCCTGTCAAGTCAGTTCCAACTCATAGTGACCCTGTATAGGATTTTCCAGGTGTGACTGGTGAGTATGAACCGCCAACCTTGCAATTCAAACTGTCCTTGCATCTATTGCTGATCAACAAATACTGTTATATGTACCACAGCGAACCTTTGGTTTTCTGTCAGGTTGTATCTGTTGTTGTTGTCAAGTTGGTTCTGACTCATAGCCACCCTGTATAAGGTTTCTAAGAAGCGACTGGTGGGTTTGAACCTTCAACATGCGGTTCGCAGTCCAGTGCTTATCCTGCAGTGTCACCCTAGGACTTCATTATATACCTGTAGCTCTTTTATATTTTACAGTGGTTACACAGTTTTATAAAAAGAAAAATTAAAAAGTAATCAGAATTATATTTTATTTATAGTTACTCATATGAACTATCAGTATGTTTTTTTTCTTTCATTTCTTCTTATTGAGTTGCTGGGGAAAAGTCTGAATTTCTTTTTTTCTTCTCCAGCAAATTAAAATAACCTTAAATCCTAGGCTATCATCTCAGAGGTGTCTAAGAGATTCAGCTATGGAAAAAGGAAGATCAGAATTTTCACACATCTACAGGAAAATGTTCTTAGTAAATGAAAGGAAAGGGGTGACTATAAAGGAAGCAGTTGTTTATCCTGAACCAAAATATCAGTAGTCCCCGACTGGCCAGTATCCTAGTTAGGACCAGTGTCCTGTTTTTGTACATATTACTGTTATTAGTATGCAGTACACACAGTGTTATAAGGAGCTCTGGTAGCGTAGTGGTTACGAATCGGGCTGCGAACCTTAAGGTCAGCGGTTCGAAACTACCAGCTGCTCCGCGGGAGAAAGA